CTTTCTGGGCTGGGGAGGGCAGGTAGCACAGCCTTCTCCCCGCCCCCAGGCCCAGGTCACTCAGGGCCTTTGTTCTACCTGCACACACCGGCAGGCAGAGCCCACCCCTTCCCTGGCAGCTCCTCCCCAGCCCGCTGAAAGCAGGCAGGCACTGTTGGGCTGGGGGCACCACAGGTTCAGGGAGAGGGACCTCACTTCTCACTCCACTTTTGGTATTAGAGGGACGCGGGGAGGTGAACTCTCCAGGTGAGCTGTATACACACCAGGGAACACGCTTCTTCTCTCAAAGACCCACCGGGCTGCGTGAGGCCAGCCTGGACCGTAACCCTGGCGGATCAGCTCTCCTACCGGCCAGCGGTGCACAGCAGGTGGGGCAGCCAGACCGCTGCAGCAGGCGCTGACCCAGAAGGAAGTCAGGGCACCACGCAGCAAGGCCGGTCGTGGAGCAAAGACAGGCACAGAGATGTTAAGAGGGAAGTCAGAGGGAAGGGGTGACAGCTGCCAGAGCTGACGAGGTGGGAGCCTTGCGCGCCTCGCCTGCAGGTTGGAAAGGGACGAGGCGAACGGGGGCCCCAAGAGGGTAGAGTTGGCCCAGCTCTGCCTGGCGGAGCCAGGACCCAGGCTCCAGGGCGCCCCGCGCGCTGAATCCCCGCGGCCCTGGGTCCCGACCGCGCTTCCCGCAGCAGGCGCTCACCTGGGCGTGCGCAGCGCGGCGGGGTCGCGGCGGTCCAACACGCCGGGAACGCAGTTGGTGAGTTCGGTCCAGTCGGCGTGCAGCCCGCAGCTCCAGCCCGTGGAGAAGCGAGAGAAGAGCCAGGTCTCGCGGCGGTTGGGTCGGTAGCAGGTGCACTTCTTCTGGCCGGGTCGGCAGTCGCAGGGCACCTCGAGGCGCACATTCTGCACGAGGTGGCGGCCGAAGGTGGTGCCGCCTGTCTTCTGGATGTGCAGGAAGACTATCACGTCGTCGCCCTTCATGTCGAAGCGCAGCGAGCGCTCCAGCTCGCGCACTGGGAAGTAGTACTTCTTCTCGTAGTGCGGGTCGGGCGTGGGGAAGAGGTCCAGG